ACAATATGAGACGGGGTGTTGAGGTGAGGTTGGGGGTAGGGATTATGGAGAAGGAGGAAATGGGGATGGGGTGGGTGGGGAGGAGAGGGTCGGTTTAAAACAGGAGTACGCTCGTGTAAAGACGCAGTAAAAGTGAAGAGTTCCATTGCAAAACGCATTGTATGCAAACCCTGGATATTTCCAGAATATCCAGCCCATTCCATATCTGACATTTTCTGATAAGAATTGCATGAGAATAAATATTTACTTTTTTCTCGATTTGCACCAAATCTGTACCCCTCGATAATTGAAATGATAAACGTTCATTTTGTTCATGCATTCATTCCAGAGAATGTACCGATTTTGGTCAAACTTGTGGATTTTGAGATGTAGGCATTTTTGGCCTTTTCAGCCTTTCTTACAACTGTTTCAGCGCATAAGAACCAACATAAGCCTGTTTTTTTCACATACCAGGCGTGTTAGGCACCATCAATTCTCCGTAAAGTCAATCTTTTATTTTTATTTATCGCTCGTTTTCTCAAAACGCGGTTTTTCTATACTTTTGAAAAACTCCACCATTTTTCAGCCAATCTTCATGAAATGTTCGCAGTATGGAGAGAAAATGAAACACAGAATAATTTTCAATTTTCAATACAGATAAAAGATTTTTGTTGGTGGTGTCTGGGGGATTTTCACGGGTTTTTGCAAACTTGAGTACTACTTCCTCAGGAAAAAAGTTCATCAAAAATGTTCTAATTCGTTCAGGAAAAATTCAACAGAATTGTTTGTAAATCTATTGTCTGCTGACACGTTTGCAAAATAAACCCCTATTTCTATGAAAAGTAAGTGCGGTATTAATTACGTAAGACGTGTAAAAAATATCCGATATGGCCGATATAGCAACGAAACGTTTGTCTCAAATTTGATGGCGAATTTTAAGATTCCTCACACTGTTTGTTAAAATATGTGTGAAATTTGGTAAAATATGATCCGCTCATAAGCGAGATAGCCTGCAGGTGTAGCACACCCCCCCCACACCCTTTTAAAAACATTATTTTTCTTTGTTTTCTAGTAAATAGATATAGTGCGTTAAGTCGTAGAGCCCTTCAAGCCTACTGTGGACAATCGTGTCTGATAGTGGGATCTTCTGCCGCGTTGTGTCGCTGAGTCTCATTCTGAACTGCCGTTTCAAATAAAATAAAATTATGTACTTAGGCCTACATAATCTGCCGTTCCGTTTCTGTCAATACCAATCAAAATTATGATCCATCAACATCATCAACAACATCACGAGTAATAAAAGCAGCAAAAAAAAAGCAATCGCAGAAACAATAGCAACAACAGTAACGGCAAAAGGCCAAGATGAACTGGCATTCCGTTGCTGTCAATACCAACCTAAATGTTTTATCTTCAACTGCGACATCAAAAGTAATAAAAGCAACAACAAAAGAAATAACAACAGTAACATCAACGACAGCAGCAACAGCTGCAACAGCAGCAACAGCAACAACAGCAACATCAAGAACAATTATAGCGAGGCAGCGAGGTGAAATCAGCCGCTCGTCAAAATATTCAAAGTGAAGAAACTGGCATTTTTCTGCAGGATTGTGAATTTTTATCCAATTTTTATTTTATTTTTTTTGTGCTTAACACCTTTCATGTCCATTAAAGAACACATTTCTATGTGAATTTTAATGCAAAACGTTGACTTAAGGCAAATAAAATGTAAATTTTCAGTTTCCAAGGACTCTCCAGCTAAAAAAATAACAAATCTTTGGTGGCCATTTCCTCACTAATTTTATCTCTGAAACCAGGTGACCCCCAACTCTTAATTCGCAAGTATCTCGATTTGTATTCAAGATAAATGGATATTTCTTTCATCCAAAGCAAAATAAATGAACAAGCTATAAGTTGATACCAATAACTTTACATGCCCAAAAATTAACGAGAGCCTGATTCCACTGCGTCCTGACACTTAAATTATAGAAGCAACAGTAAAAAAAATTATAACAACAACAGTAACAACAATAGCTAGAACAACTACTACAGCAACAGCAACAGTAATAAATATAAATCACGGCAGGAGGAACGTTAGAAGTATCAATAACAGTACCGTCTGCTGGTTAGTCAGAACTATAATATAACGACACCCGCGCGAGCACGCACACACACACAAACAAACAGACAGGCACACACACACACACAAACACAGAGAGAGAGAGAGAGAGAGAGAGAGAGAGAGAGAGA